AGCACCATTTTATTTTTTTTTATTATTTTTTTTTCCTTTTTGTCTTTTTTCGTGACCGGTACCGGGATCGCAATCCTCAGTGTCGCGCCAGTACCGCGACCGGCAACGGGATCGCAACCCTCGGTGTCACGTTAACTTCGTATAATGTATGCTATACGAAGTTATTCCGCGCTCAACCAGTGAGCGGACCGGTCTCTATATGGGATCCGAACCCTCGACGGGAGCGCTGCCACGCTCCCAAGCGCCGCACTCTACCGAGTGCACCACGGGCTCAGCCCTAGATTATCAATTTTCTGTAAATAAAACATTTTTAACTTCCATATAGAAAAGTATCATAAATAAGGTCGAAAAAGAAATATACACATTTGGAAAAATATTTGCAACACAAAAAAGTTAATCCCTAAAATATAAAGAACTCTACTGTTTCCAACAATGCCCTCGGGTACAAATTGCTCCACAAAGTTGACCCAATCAACTTTGTCTCCTTTGAAGGAATAGTTTTTGAGGTCTCTGTTTAATACAATATTTGTTCTGATCCTAGGATGGGTCCTCCTAACTGGCTTACCTCCTGGTTCCCTCCTGCAAACTAGCCAGCCTATAGTCTATGCTGAAGATAATTCCATGAATCTCCTTCCAGTTGACTATCACAACCTCCAACGTTCTTGAGAGAGTGGTAGATTTGAATTTCTGCAGGTTCTGATGCAAATGAAGTCAGTTCCTTTGGGAAGAGATTAGGAGCTATCTGTTTCATCACCTGCTTCTCCCCCAGGCAAAACCTCTGATTTAGGACTCTGGAGCTGGGGGTGAAAACAATAACAAGCTTCTCTCTGAGTGACATCCCCACTCTAGGAGTTGAGCACTCCTTGGGTTGGGGGACGGCAGCCTAAGTACCTCTGAGCTTTCCTCTCTTGGCATAGAACTATCACCTCAGGCACTGGGCAAAAGCAATTAGGGCCCCAGTAGCTTCAGTGTGCCACACCCAAGATAGGGCCTCTCTTCCACAAGTTGGGGGTAAGTTGACAAAGGAACCACCTTCCAAACTCTCAAATGTACTTAACCTGGGACTTAGCCTCAACAACAGATAGTTCAGAGCAGGATGAGAAATGCTCTTTCTGGGAAGAAAGCCCTCCAACTGGGAGCTGGGGAAGAGGGAACCCTGCGTTCTTGGCTGTACCAATCTGGAGTCAAGTCCCCACTTCACTGAGCTGGAAGTGGGGAGGGTAGCAGTGGTCTCATGTCAGATAACACGGACTCTTGTCTTTCATGCCAAATTTCATAGATTTCCTTAAGCATTATGTTTCTTTATTTACGGGTTGCCCTTAGGACCACTTCCAGAGGCTTTACTTTTTATCAAAAGGTAATTTTCACCAGTTTCACTGGGGAGTGAGCCAGCAAAACTCCTCACACTATCATGCCAGAAGTCAATCTCTCCCATATCATTTAAATGTTTTACAGTGAGCAAGTATATTCTGTACTAAACCAATAAAGGTTTTAAAAATAAAAATAGAGAAAGAGAGAAATTGAGGACTGTTAGGAGGTAAGAAAGAACTTTTGAAAACAGTAGAAGACTCCTGTGTTGGCTGCCTCCCTACCAGTCTTTATAGTTCCACTCTTCTCTTTGCTTAGAGATGAATTATTCTCTTTCTAATAACCTCAGCCCATGAACAGGCACTTAATGAGAAACCTGACAGATCTGAAGTACCTCCAACTTTAGGAAGCATTGTGGATTCTCCCTTGAATCCAGACGTCTAATGGGATGCACATGGAACCAAGAAAGAAATGTCATAAGCAATGAAACCATGTTTGGGAACCACTGTCTAGAACTGATGAGAATGACATCAGAGCCTAGTTCTCAGGTGAAGCAACTAGACTAAAATAAATGCTAACAGCACTGTTTTCTCTCTTTTTGCCACTCCTGGTATTTTATGGCATTTCTTTTCTTCACCTGCTGTTATAACCCTATCTTTCTATGATTTTGCTATATTGCAAGAAATGGATTTCTTCTTAATCATTGTGCTTGGGATTCAGCAGAATTTCTGAATTGGAATTCATGTCTTTCATCAATTTTGGAAAAGTATCAGCCAAACCTCTTTAAATATAGCCTATCCCACATTTTCTTTTTCTTTTTGGAATTCATGTCAGACCTTTTCATTGTCCATCTCTTAACCACTTTTTAATTTTTCTATTTCTCCATGCTGCACTTTAGGTAATTTCTTCAATTTTATATTCCAGTTCATTTAATTACTCTTTACGTGTGTCTGATCAGTTTACCTTGTCTTCTGAATTCCTAACTGCAATTATTGAATTTTCCACTTCTGGAAGTTCTATTTGTGCATCAACCTAAGTGTCCATGAATGGATGAATGAATGAATGAATGAAGAAAATGTGTTGAAATTAAAAACTTCTGGCCATAAGGGTATGGAAAATGTTCCCAAGACAGTTGTCAGTTTTTGTCGACAGATACAGTTGACAGATACAGTGTTCTGTATCTCTTAGGATTTGAACTTTCCATTACATTTGGCTTTAAGATTTCTCTCTCACTTTCTTGTAGGGCCACCACATAATGAATATGACATTATTAATTTTTCCTGCAGTTATGCAGAGCAGTGGCCTACAGTTTCTCATCTGCTGAATTGAGCATTTAAGGGAAATTTTAAAATTTAATCCAGCATCTCCAGGTATTTTGAACCAAGATTGTTTCTTGGGAAATATAAATTGCCATTTGCTAGATATGGAAATCTCCCAGTTCTCTTCTCTGTTACCTACTGTTTAAATTTTAATTACAAAAATAATTCATATTCACTGGAAGAAAAATCAAACAAAATAGGAGTATAGAAAATAAAAGTCCTCCCTGCTCTTCGTGGCTTCCTTTCTCTCACTGATTTTTGGTGATTTCAGTTTTTGTGTTAAACCATTTATGTTCTAAGCGGCCACATAAAACTTACTCTCTATAACGTGCTGTGGGTACCATAGACTTGGGTACCAATTCCCACTCTCAAGAAGTTTTCAATTTCATTGGGGAAATAGATGAAAGAACTGGTATACAACAGAGAAGTAGATGTACTAAAGAGTCGGCTTAAGAGTCCAGTCAACAAATGCTAATAAAGTCAAATAAAAAGGAAAGAACTTTGTGGGCTGGGGTTATGCAAGGAAGAAATTAAGGAGGAGGTAGTCAATAACAAAAAAGTCTGAAAGCAGCCACACAGATGATGTAGAGGAGGCAGGGGCACATCACAGAGATAGATTCAAAAGAAATGCTGAAGGGACAAGTTCATTAAGCTGAGTGGTGCCTTCCTCCCCAGAATGAAGACGTAGTTTCTGCAGTACTTAGGCTTTGAGTTGATTTTCCATTTGTCATTAACTGCCATTTGAAAAACGTAATCCAACTTTGAATGCAGTTATCCAATTGCCTTGGCCAACCTTGGTTAATATGCTAATCAATTTATCAGATACAAATGGTTTGAGCACCTCACCTGTCACTTTAGGAGTGTGGAAAAATGAGCTACGAGAGACAAGAGGTCAGACTAGTCCTAGGAGTCACAGTTGAACTTGTCAAATGTCAGCATCTCTAATGCCTGACCTCATTCCAGTCTCTACTTTCTATTTTCCAGGCCTTCCCCCAGTGGGGCTACACACTCATTCCATGGCTTTAGATTTCAAAGGGCCAAGGTCTGGTATCTGAATCATACACTATTACATCATTAATAAAAGCAGCACTCTCCACTCAGCCTCCATGTTATCTGAAAACAATTCTTTTCAGAGGTTATCAATTTTTTCCTTTGTTTCTTCATTTATTCTTTCAATAATTATTTCCTGAACATCCACTCAATGCTAGGTCCTGTGCTATAGGGGGACAGCAAGATTAAGATAGAAAAGGGATCCTATCCCCATGTACTGTCTAATAAGTGTTATCAAGAGTAAAGAGGTAATCAAACAAACATATAACTGCAAATTGAGGTGAGTTCTATGACGAAGCAAGGGAAATTTAAAAGGAGTTTAAAAGACCTGAGAAGGATTTTGGAAATTTTTTATTTTTATTTTTTATAGCTGACCAGTAAGGGGATCAGAACCCTTAGCCTTGATGTTATCAGTACCATACTCTCCCAAGTGAGCTAACCCGCCTGTTGGGAAAATAGAAAAGTTTGGTCAGGGCCCTCGCCTCGGATCCAGTTGGGTGTGGTTTTAGCACATCCTTTGTAAGCCAATTGCATACTCTCCCAAGTGAGCTAACCCGCCTGTTGGGAAAATAGAAAAGTTTGGTCAGGGCCCTTGCCTCGGATCCAGTTGGGTGTGGTTTTAGCACATCCTTTGTAAGCCAATTGTGTGTGTGTGTGTGTGTGTGTGTGTGTAATTACTGAGCATGTGCACCAATGTATCTTTTTAGTTTTGTTACTATTCTTATATGTGTAAAAGAGAGAGAGAGAGAGAGAGACAGACAGAGAGAGAGAGAGAGAGGAGAGTAGTTTGAGTGAAGCAGGCAGGCAGGCAGGCATGGGCGTCTGCCCCGCGCAGCCATGCTTTCCAACCTACAGTTTCCCAGGACCTTTTGGCTGGTTACCTAGCTCATAGACATGCGTGAAGGGGTCTGGGGACCCAGCCTGGCATGTGGAGGGTTTGTGACCCAGTCTGTGAATGGGCTTGAGGGGTTTGGGAGCTCCAGATCCAGCCCTAGCTCAACAATCAGCCCAGTCAGCAGGATTACTGGCAGGTAAAAGAACCCGACAACTGGTGTGGTCGCCTAGCTTTACGATTGGCGTCACAAACAGGATTAAGAGCCACACACAGCCAGTCCAGGATTTTGGAAATTTTATCAATATGAATATATGTTCATTTGCAAGTAACGAAATAATGACTAATACTGGTTTTTAAAAACAAAGACATTTAATTCTCTCTCACAAGAAAAGTCTGGAAGTAGATGGTTTCAAAATCACTATATTAGCTAAATTACATGATAAAGGACCCAGCCTCCTCCTGTCTTTCTCCTCTATTACCGTCCTCAGCAGGTTGGCTTTTTGTCCTTGTGCTTCTTACCTCACTGGTCCAAGACAGCTGCTGCAGCTCCAAGACAACTGCAATCGAAGCAGGAAGAAATGGGCAGGGTCTCTATACTATCTTTTTTATTTATTTATTTATTTTGGCATCTGGCCAGTAGAGGGATCAAACCCTGTATCTTAGTATTGTCAGCACCAACCTCTAACCAACTGAGCTAACTGGCCAGCTCTATCTTTCTTTTTATAAGAACAAAATCCTTCCCAGAAGATTCCTAACAAACATCTCTTTATGTCTCATTGGTCAGAACTGGGTCACATGCCCACCTCTAAATCAACCCACATGCACAGAGAATGGGATTACCCTGTGTGGTTGAAACTATTCATGGCTCATTTCCTAGCACTACGGGAGGGAATGCCCTCCCTGAACATGTTGCTGCCTTCACAATATTGAGGTTCCTTAAAGCAGATGAAAAGGGGGAATAGTTGTTTAGTAGACAACAATCAATAGTAGGGGAAAAAACCCACAGGACTTATTCACCAATTTAATGTGAAAGTGAAGGGAGAAAAAAGGCTCAAATATCACTCAAAAGTTTCAAATTTGGTTTAGATCCCTGTACTGGCCACACTCTTCCCTCCCCACCCTTCCCCCCAAAATGTTTCAAGCTTGGGTAACTACAATAATCACAGTGCCGAGAACAGATAAAAAGAGAATGGAGGAGGAAATATCTAGTTTGTGAGAGAGACAATAATGAGTTCTGCTTTCTTCTTCTTGAATTTGAGGTGCAATCAGATAGTCTGATAGAAAGGTAGGATGAGAACTAAGGAGAAAGGCTGGACTTAAATGTAGACACTGGAGTCATACAAAATGAGGAGGATTTGAAACCACAGGAATAGATAGGACCATTAGGGGAGAAAATGAAAAGAGAGAAGAGGGATAGGCTGGAGGAATCTTGGTGAATAGCTATAATCAGAAGATAATAAGATGATGATGTTGCCATAAAAAGAAAGGGAAAGGAAGTAATTAATTACAGACATCCCCAAATCAAGGGACTATAATAACATGGCAGCCAAGAAGTAAAGTTTCCAAGGGAGAGCAGTGGCCAATCCTGTTGACTATGACAGAGATGTCAAAAATGACAAAGTACGGGCCGGCCCGGTGGCGCACTGGATAAGTGCGCCGCTTGGGAGGTGCGGCGGCGCTCCCGCCCGAGGGTTCAGATCCCACATACAGACCGGTTCCCGCTCACTGGCTGAGCGAGGCACGGGAGCGGCACCGAGGGTTGCGATCCCGTTGCCGGTCCCCAGTCTGGTACGGGGGCAGCACTGAGGGTTGCGATCCATTGCCGGACACGGAAAAAAAAAAAAAAAAAAAAAAAAAAAAAAAAAAAAAATGACAAAGTACTCTTGAAAAATTTCAGGGATGACGGGAACAGAAACCAGATTGTAGAAACAGTGATTTTGCGTGTATTAATGTAACACTCACTTGCACTCATTTTTATCTCTTTGTCTACGCTTTGAAGAAGTTTGGAAGTGAAGGGAAGGAAAATATAGGTTGGCAGTTGGAAGTAATGGACTAGTTGGTCAGTGGATAGGTAACCTGATTACATCTGTGGGCTAAGAAGAAAGAGCCTAGAGAGAGCGAAGAGTGAGGAACAGTGGTAGTGATGGGGAAAACAAGAAGACACGCAGAGGCTGAAGGTCACAGTAAGGACAAAAGCATGTTCACCAAGAGACATGAAGATGTGGAAGAGATATTGAAGGTCGCCAGAGAATATTAAATGTTGGAGAAAATGGAAAATGAGTTTCAAGATATCTAGTGAATAACGAGGAAAAATAAAGGTCAATAGAATTGAGAATATTGGTCCCCAGCAAGCTCACAAACACCATCAGGAGAGGGGAGAAGATGCAGATAAGCACTGAAATTCATTGAGGGAAGCAGGAAAAAACCTGGAAATTGGAGGCCAACAGATGCAATGGAACATGGTTATACGACAATGGCCAAACCGTTAAAACCAACAGATGCAATGGAACATGGTTATACGACAATGGCCAAACCGTTAAAAAAAAATTTTTTTTTTTTGCAGCTGGCTGACCTTGGTGTTATCAGCACCACACTCTAACCAAGTGAGCTAACTGACCAGCCCTAAATAGTTAAAATTTAACTGGTAAAACCTCAGTGGGAAAGAGCACAACTGAGGAAACTAGAGAGTCAACAAACCATGGGGTGAGAGGGTTCTAGGGTAGGACACTTTCATTTTATAAGGGATGGATATAACCCAAAACTGCCAAGGATGTTCCAAGGCAGATGCCAAGGAGAGAAAGGTTAGAGCAGAATCCTGTTCCAGGTATCCATCATAATGGAACATAATCTCGCCACAACTGAAGACACATACACACACCCCCCTTTTTTATACTGGGCTCCGTTCCATGACATCCTGCAAACTGTGGACAGTTCCAACAAAAGCACCGCACACATGAACGCTTGTATAACTGCATAATAATTCGTATATGTGCAGATGAGAATGTGGGTTATTAATGATGGATGTGGGACATCAAAAGTGACTGAGGTGGGGACATGAAAACAGTGCTGGTACTTAGGGCAGGCACATCAGTTTCTTGATAGTTTAACTCCTGACAGTTAAAGGTAAAGGCTATATGCAGGGAGGTAACAGGAAAACAAAAGCAGGCAGACAATTTGATGAGAAGTAAAACCAAAACCAGATTACAGACAGCTGCATGGCCTCTGAAATTCACAAGGCCTTTCCAAGCCTTCTCTTACAGAGAAACACAAAGGACTTGTATGGAACTCCGGAGACTCCTGATAGGTCATACTATAGACACATACACACAGGTTCCATCGTGAGATAAAATCAGGTCATAGAAGGCCCAACGAAAATAACTTACGTGAAGAAAGAGAATGAAGGTTTAAACCATGAAAAGATGAAGCTGCTAAAAGCATCAGCACCCCTATCCCTGCACATCTTCTTATTGTTTGGTCCCTGGAACTAAGAACCTGAGTTTTAGAAAGTCCCCGCCCTTCAGTTTCATTTCTCTGTTTCCTTCTTCAAGGTATCTGTTTCCCTGAGTCTCTGCTCCCACTAGCAGGCTGAGCAGGCAATACCCAGAGTGTAACATTGTAACTGTTTCCCTCTGTTAGCCCAAGGTTTCTGTCTCTGCAAGTCTGTTCTCATGAGCAGGCTGTATCCAGAATGGAACACTGTGACTGTCTTCCTAGGCTAGTCCAGATGCTAATCTTAACCCTATAAAAGAAGACACCCAACTGCCTCTCAGTGCTGATGCCATTTTTCAGTTCAGCCCAGCAGATCTGCTTGCCACTTGCTAATAAAATCTTCTTTTCTTCCTTTACCTGGCTAGCGTCTCCTTCCTCAGAGACCTTACACTTATGAAAGAGCTTGACTTGTCTTATATATGGGCAACAAACAGAAAATGTGTATGACCCATAAATAAGTGTGAGTAATATTCAAATATAGGCACAAACTTTATTTCAGTGGCCACATAAATTACATTTATGTCAACTCTCTCTTCTTGATCTTGTAATAATTGCTTCATGTTTAACATCAGGAAATAGATCTCTTCATCCACAGAAATGTATGTGGAAGCCTTATTACCCAATTAACCCAGGTAGGCAAAAAAACCCTCATGAAGTAGCAAGATTAGCACCAAGAGATATGTATAAGAACATAAGCACCTTAATAGTAGAGAAAATGAGAAGAATAAAGGTTTGTACTGTAGAAAGAAAAGAAATATTCCTAAGAATTTCCTTATAGTGAAAACTCTTACTAAAAAGGACACATCACTGGCTGGCCAGTTAGCTCACTTGGGAGAGCGTGGTGCCGGTAACACCAAGATCATGGGTTTAGATCCCCTTACTAGCCAGCTGCTGAAAAAAGAACAAACAAAAATAACAACAAAAAGGACACATCATGATGAAGGTGATGATGATGTTTATAACACCTTATCATTGACAGGTACTTTATAACCATTTCACAAGACTTATTGTGTATTATGTTATTTGATACTCACTCAACTTTATAAAATGCACAGAACACCTATTATGTTCCCAGATAACAAACAAAAAAGGTGAGGTTTGGAAAGACTGCATGTATAGCTCAGTTGGTTAGAGTGCTACCTTACAACACCAAGGTCACGGGTTTGAATGCCTGTACCAGCCAGCTGCCAAAAACAATGAAAGGTTGCACACAGGCACACAGATAAAGAAATGGTAGAGACTGGACTTGAACCTACATTTTTCTGATTCTAGGTCAGTGTTCTGGCCTAGTCCTTTTAAACATTCAAACATCTAGACGTACTAAGCAGTATTCTTTCCCATCAGCAGAAAACTAGAAGGAATGACTTCTAGATAACACCCCAGCCCTGGGACTCCACGATACCTGGGTGCTCACTATCCCTTGAATACCCTCTTGACAAAAAGCAAGCTCATCCAATGGGTGTGGGTATGCACATGTGTGGCAGATGTGTGAACACCTAGGAGCAGTTAGGGAGGTACAGAGCCAATACTTAGAACATCAGACTAGAGCACTGAAACTTGCCTCTCTACACAGAAAAAGTCTTACCTTACCTCAAGTTCCTCTTTGCATAAAATGTTACCATTTTCATGGTTTTTGGGAGCCTGCTATTGGCTTCCAAAAGCTTGGGCGCTATACCATGCTGTTACTGTAACAGCCCTCCAGTGAACCATCAAAAACCCAGTTAGAACATTTTGAATGCAGCAGTTTGCTTGCCACTAGAACACTAAACTGCAATATTTTATATTTATCTCTATTTAAATTTTAGTGATGCTGAATAAATGTTAACACGGTCCTATGATAATATAATCACAGAAAAGTCTTAATAACACCACATATTGTCACTTCCCCTTAAGCAGGCCCAATGCATGTTTTGCAAGTCACTTAGTTAGTCTCCCTTAACTAGGATGTGACATGAAGATGCTACAGTTTCCCTAAAAAAAGTATTTCCAGAAACAATGGCAAGGGACTTGTAAAACTATTTGTTCATATTGAAGGTAGAAAGAAAGTACTTGAGAGTAAGGTAAAGATTTCCAAAAAGGGTCTGGAGAGAGAGGTTAATAATATTTGATGTATGTATTAGTCCATTTCTGTTGCTTATAACAAAATATATGGAACTGGGTATATTACAAAGAAAACAAAATTTATTGCTGACAGTTTCCAAGGCTGGGAAATCTACAGTCCATGAAACACATGTGGTGGTGACGGCAGTGACCCCTCACATTGCAAGATGGTAGAAAGCAAAGAGAGCAGACAGAAAGACAGACTCTCCTCTCTCTTCTTTTAAAGCCCTCAGAACCACGCCCCTGACCACCATTTTTAATCCATTCACTACAGCACAGTCAGACAATCTAATCACCTCTTTAAGGCTCCACCTTTCAATTACCGTAATAAGATTTCCCACCCTCTTAACAGTCACAGTGAAGACCAAGTTTCTAATACATAAAACTTGGGGGACACAATTCAAGCTTCAGTGAGTTTTTTGGGGGTGGCATAATTCAATCCACTACAATGTAGTTCTTTTCTGGCTTGAGAAACAAAAAAGTGAGCCTTAGTAACTTCTCAAGCCTCTAAAGACTTATGAGGATAAGACTGTGGACTTCCCCAGGGCTGAAACCATAGCTACCGATGACAAACTCAAAGATTCTCCACCTTCCCAGTGGATATACAGGAGATTTCTCTGGGCCTCTCCTAATAGCCCCCACCCACGCCCTTGCAGTAAGAATCAGAATATATTTATTCCTGTTGTAGAGGCACAAATGGCCCTCAGAGCAGATTTTTCAAAAATAGGAGGAACTATAGCTCCAATGACCAATCGTACATGAAGATATCTTGGTCTTTTCAGGATGAATATAATGATGTGATGTCCACATATATTTCTGCATCCTCTCTTTTGAGATGCTGCTTCTTCACTCTTGCTTGGTCAGTCTTCTAGCACAAGCCAAACTAATTGAAATTCTAAAGAACTCCCAACCCAGAGAGTACGATAACCTGACAGCATGTGGATTGGTTCCAGACACCTTGGGGAAGACACATCCCCCCAAAAGGCCCTCCTTGGTCAGGTTCATCACTTATTCATCACTAGATGTGGCTATACTGCCAAAAAGAATCAACTCTTGGAGTTTATTCCCTTCCCTCTCTACTAGCTATGATTAGTCAAACTTCTTGTAAGCTTTGAACACGACAGACAATGTGACCTAAGATGTTATTAAATGTCCACATACATAAGATAGGGGGAACAGAGAGTCAAAAAGGTTGACAACATGGGTAAAAATTCCTATCTATTTGGAATAAAGGCAGAATCAAATTCTTAACTCTAGTTTCATCGGGATTAAACTGAAATGTTGGTAGGGATGTGCACAAGTTCAAGTGTAACCTTCTTCAAAGCCAATTAGGTCAAACAATCCTGATCAATGTGATATCCATCCACACTGCTCACCTGGAAAAGGCAGCCCCCAGCACAAATGCAGCATACTCCTTCACCAAGGGCTCTGTGCTGTTCAGCCCATTGATCACCACTTGAAGGCCACCAAAGGAAAGCAGGTCCTGCGCATTATCCATCTGCAACAAAGGCACTGCTTAGTATAGTATAGCCATCAAGGAAAGAAGAGCTCTTCTTAAAACCCTTTTTTTAGTGACTATTCAAAAAAAAATTAGTGAGCCAAATTAAACCCAATAGTGGCCTCACTGGCTAATTAGGAAAGGGTATGTAAAAACAAACTGAATTTTTAAATAATCTTAAATTTGAGAACTCTTAATTCATCTAACATAAGAGCACCCGCGTGGGAATCAGCGGAAATGGCACCTAGCTATTGCTTATGCCAAACATGTCCCGGAAAATTCTAATACCGTAATGAGTCAGAAAGCTTACTACTAATGTACAAGCTGTTCACACAAAGAATCTGGCGTCATTAGTACCATTAAATGATGCCATGCTTCCTGTTAATGTCCAACCCCAATGGGGGTAGCAGAAGCAGCAGACATTAAAAAAAAAAAAAAAAAAAAAAAAAAAAAAAAAAAAAAAAAAAAAAAAGATAAAATAAAAAGCTGATTTTTAATTAGAAGCAAGAGACTATAAAATGATCCCTGTTGATGGGGGGTCAGGGGTGGAAGAGGGAGTGCTACAAGAGAGCTAGGAGAAGAATAACAATAGTACCCTTCTTTTCTGTCTAAGGTTGACTGAATCTGAAAACATTCACAATAAAATCTGTACAAAAGTGACTCTCCCAAAGGTTTCAGTATAGGCCTGTGCTACTCACTAGTGGCTACATATTAGAAAGTGTGTGACATTTTTATCATCATATAAAGTTCTCTTAGACAGCATTGGTCTAGGCTATCATTTAAGCTCCAAATCCCCGAGTATACGCTCACGCATGCACTCACTCACTCACTCTCTTGCTCTCTCTCTTACTCTATGGAGGATCTCATTCTCCTGTTGCAGGGAACCCTAAGCATTTTCTAATTGTTAAGCTTTCCCTTTTCCACTTGAGAAAATGTTTTAGAAACTCTATGCTCCACTGTAGACTCTGGCCCCTGCCATTTACCCTGCTTGCTTCCTGGGCCTGCCCTCTAGTAGATAACAGCAGTCTCACACTGCCCACCCACCCATGGGCCAGATGCAAATTAGGCTCCTAAAGTGACCAACGGACTGTGTCCCACAACCAGCCAATCCATATTAGCAGGACAGCATCCCTCCTTTACATAAGAGAGCCTGAATGGGAACCTGTGACGGAAAAGGGCGGGAATTTAGGCTATATAAGGGGGTCTTTTCCTTTGTTCTGGGAGACACTGGTTTAGGAGTTATTGCTCCCCAGTGCTCTCCTTGCTTGCAAGCAAAAAGAGGTGCTGTAACACTGAACAAAGAGCTGCAACACTAAATAAAGAGCTATAAAACTATAACACTGATGCCGGTCTTGGATTCTTCTGTGCTTTCGCCCCACAACACTCCAAGCTTCATTAGTATCCTGGAACAAGAAGATTCAACTTCCTCAGAAAGGTCACTGGATCCTGTTTTCTGAACGTAGTAGCTACAGTCTCCCTTGAAAATATTTCTGGTGCTACAAAGGCTGACTCTTGTCCACATGCTGATCCCATTCTACAAATCAAGAAAACTCAGGAAGCTAGAGCCCGACAATGAGATAACTGCTACCTTTTTCCTCCAGATTCCACAGAACTATTTCCTACCCTTATTTCTGCCTCTGAACTGGAAGAGGGCTCTGACATAGAAATCAAGTGTGAAGAACAATATTTGACTCTGCCAATGTTTTGGAGTGAGCCTAGCTTGTTTTTTTGTTTGTTTGCTTACCACTTGGAAGATCAATCTTATACATTTTGATAGAACTTCCACAAGTGCAGAGATTTTTGTCTGTCCACTGTTGTAGCTCCAATGACTACAATAGTGCTAAGAATATACTTAGGTGTTCAATAAATGATCATGGAACCAATAAGAATTTGACCACAAAAAAATGTTTCTGAAATAAACTCCACTGTGAGTAAAAATGACAATCGAGGTGTCTATGCCAACAAAATGGATGGGCCCCTGGTACCACAGACATGAAAAATTAGGCAGTCCAGGTTGTGAAGTAAGCATGGAGTCTGCTCTGCCATGTAGCCCCAGGCCACAGCTGGGATTTTTCTGCCCCCGTCTGTCCTTATGAAAAGGAATGATTATTGAGCCACAGCCCAGTTCACTAGGGAGACTCAGAGTGGGTGCTTTGCTAACAGAGGCACCTTCCTTCTTCACATGTTCCAGTTTTAAAATATAAAAATTCACTGCATATCCTTTGATCTTCCTTCCTCTAGGTTTTCCAGATACAAAACCATGACTTAGAATCCTGTTATTCCATGCCTAAAATGGCCACTTATCAAAGCTGCTGTTAGTCCCTAGCAGAGCACCTGTCACTCTGTCAGCCCCAAAGCAAGACAACCCAGAGTTACAAAGGCTGTTCTAAATTCAGTTTATCTATATTACTACAATGATAATTTAGTGTGATATAAATGTTGACATTTACCTAAGCACTTTGTACTTTTCAAGGATTTTCTCATTTTTTATTTCACTGGCAGTGAGGAAGAAAAGAGTCATTCTGCCTATTGCACACCAAAAGCTGGGCTCTTCCCAGTGTCACACAGGAGAAGGCATGACAAGAGCTCAGGTCCACAGCTCCCCAGCTGGTTTTAAGAGCCAAAACTTTTCTCAGGCTGCCTTCGGGATGGGGTAGGACAGGCAGAAGACAGGAGTATAGGGAGGGAGTGCATTAGGAAGGAGACAGTGGGAACTATGCCAACACTCATGAGGAAAGGAAAGAACCAGAGCACTGACAAGACAATGAGAGAATAGGAAACAGAAAGAAAGAAATGGTGGTAAATAACTAGGGAGTCACGTGAGGAGAGGCAAATACACTGCCCCAGGGTAGATGGGCAGAAAGAGACTGTCCTCATAAACAATTCACAAACTATTTTCTACATACAATGTTTTGCTTTTCACATAACCGGTTTAAGAATTTAAATATGGGGTCAACCCTGTGGCGCACTCGGGAGAGTGTGGCGCTGGGAGTGCAACAGCGCTCCCGCTGCAGGTTCGGTTCCTATATAGGGATGGCCGGTACGCTCACTGGCTGAGCGTGGCCAATCACAAAAAAGACCAAAAAAAAAAAAAAGAAGAATTTAAATATGGGGTCAACCCTGCGGCGCACTCGGGAGAGTGTGGCGCTGGGAGTGCAACAGCGCTCCCGCTGCAGGGTCGGTTCCTATATAGGGATGGCCGGTACGCTCCCTGGCTGAGCGTGGCCAATCACAAAAAAGACCAAAAAAAAAAAAGAAGAATTTAAATATGGCTGTGAGGAATTCTTGGGCAGACGTGTTTGGGCCTCCTTGAAGCCCATGGCTCTTCAAACCTTTATTCACTAAATGGCAGTGGACTGAGGAAGTTCCTGGCTAGAAAAGTCCTATCTTCCACAAACTAGCACTACATCACCCCAATTGCCCACCACAACTGGAACTTGAGGCTGAGCTATGTCTTCTTCAATTTCCCCATGAAATCACAACTCAACACTTTGCATGGCAGCCTGATGCACCAGCCCAAAACAAAGACCTTACACTCCTAATCAAAACACCAATGACCCAGAACATTACATTTATGACTCTTCTGCCAACTGAGAAAGTTTGGCCTCTACCGGGAGACTGGCTCCTGGGATGACCTCAGGCCAAGTCGGGTGATATTGAAGAAACTGTTCACTGTCCCCCCCCACCCCATCTCCCACCTGTGAAAGCAGAATGAGATGTCACCCTAGGAATGACACTGTCAGGTGACTGGAGGACCTACAGAGGAAAAAAACAAACTTTGTTAGGGCGCTGATTTGTTAGGAGCCCAAGCCTCCTGTGTACCCACACTCTTCTAGGTAATGATAAGCTCTCCAATCATTTTGGACTTTCATGTGCAACTAAAGCAAGAGTCTATAGAAACCTGATACCTGAGATCTATCCAAATATGTTAAGATGAGAAAAAATAAAAGCTGTCAACATCAGAGCAGGACTGAGTTGGCCAATAACCGCTAGGATCCTTAATCCTTAAATATCTCTAACGGAAAAGCTATTGGAGTTTTTATTTTTCACCCTGGAGAGAAAGACTGGAAAGGGTAAAGAGAACCCAGGTTCAGTTTTTTTCTCTAAGAGGATCACAGTCTTGCTATTTGAGGCCTGAGAAAGAGTTATGAGCCGAGAAAGAAGATGAAGAGGCTGCCCCATAATTCCTACAGATACATTGTACACTCATCCCCTTTTACCACAGAAGCTGGCAAAATCCTAAAGAAAGAAAGAATGTCTTTTAGTCTAGTTTATAGAGAACAAGGAGGCTATCGTGTGTGGGAGGACATTGAGGATCTATGTCTTGATGAGGATCTCAAACAAGCCTTTGATTATGAGTAAACAGCCTCCTGGGCCACCATTGTCCCTAGTCTGGATCACTGTAATAGCCTCCTATCTGCTCTCTCTCCTTCTACCCCAACCCCCCTCCTCCAGTCTAATACTCAACATAGCAGCTGGAGGGACTCTTTTAAAAGTAAGTCAGATCACATCATTCTTCTGCTCAACGTCCTCCAATAACATCCAAGTCAACTCTTTTCCATGGTCTCCGAAGTCCTTCATGTTCTTCCTCTCATTATCTTTCTGGGGTTCACCTACTTCTCTCCCTGTTCTCTCAGCTCTACCTGCACTGACCTCCTTGTGGTTCCTCAGACAAGTTAGCATGCTCCCCACCTCAGAGCCTTTGTACTTGCTGTTTCTCTTGCCTAAGATGCTCCTTCTCAACACTGCCAGTTCCTTCCCTGCTCTGCTTTTTATTTTTCCATAATATTTATCACCTTCAAACATTTATAAGTTACTTATTTGTTATGTTTGTCTATCTACTGCTTGTTAGAAGGTAAGCTCCAACTTTGCTCATAAATGTATCTCAAGTGACTAGGACATAGCAGGCACTCAATAAATTCATTTACTGAATAAATGAATGGCTTCTCTTGGCTGCTTCTCCTTAGCTTCACCTGTTCCTTTTTGAGCTTTATCCAAAAGGTACCCATTTTCTGTGAGAAGCAGAGTGGTCAAAAGTCTAAGAACACAAAATTTACGGTTGGACAGACCTTGTTATAAATCCCAGCTCTACCACTCACTAGCTGGATGATTTTCAGCAGTCACATAACTTCTCTGTGCCTCATTTTCCTCAGCTAAAAAACGAGATTACTAATGGTGCCTACTCATAGGGCAGCTATGGAAATCAATGGACTAATGTGTACAAAGCACTTGAAACAATGCCTGGTATATAATAATGCTCAGTAAATATTAGCTATTTTAAATCTGATCAGTTACTTCCCCCTTTCAAACTCCTCAATTGTTTTTAGGACGAAGGCTAAAATCATGAAGAGCATAATATTCTCACCTTTACCTCTCTGACTCCCTATCCTTTCCACTTTATCTGTGCTACCCTCTCCTCCTGGCCACTATGCTTCAGTCACTCCGATCTTTTCCAGGCCCTCAGTCTTACCAAGCTCTTCTCTGCCCCACAGTCTTTACATATGTTGTTTACTCTGCCTCAAATGCTCTAACCCAAGGACTGGCAAACTTTTCCTAAAAGGTCTGACAGTAAATATTTTTGACTTTGTGAGCAACATGGTCTCTGTCACAACTACTCAATTCTGCCATTGTAGCATAAAAATAGCCATAAATAATATATTAAATAAATAGGGGTGCCTGTATCCCAATAAAACTTTATTTACAAAAGCAGGTGTCAGACCTATTTGGCCAACAGGTGGTAGTTTGCCATCCCTACTCTAGTCCCCCTCTTCACCTAGTCAACCCCTAATCATCATTTAATGTTCAACCTAAATGTCAAATACTCTGAGAAGCCTCCATTTATTGGCCCTAACTAGGCTCTAAGTTCTCCTGCTATATACTCTTGAATCATCCTCTGGAGTCCTGTCACAATCTTAAATTATCTCATTATTTAATTGGTAATTTGTTCAATGGTTCATTATTTAATTGCTTCCCCTTCCAGACTATAACCTACTAGTGACAGGGACTATGTCTATTTTACCTCTGCTATGTCCTTAGTGTTAAAAAATAAAGGAGGCAATACTTCAACTGAAAAAGAGATTGGCTCTGGCCTCTAAGAATGTGTCTTACTACAGCAGACTTTGGCCTAGATTAAAAATATTCTCTGCCCCAGGAGAGAAGTAAAGATGATGATGCTATTTTCTTAGGGCTTAGGGCAGGGGGATTTATTTTTGGAGCTGTTTACAGTACCTGATGGACATAATATTCGAGATCAAAGAGTGCAGCAATCTTCTCTTCTAGGCTGGAGCTGGAACTGTTGAACTTGGTGATCAGCCGTACCATGATCTGCATGTCAGTCTCAATGACAACATTTAGCTCATCAAAGTCCTTCTTCAGCTCCTCGATGGGGCGGAAGAGACGCTTTACCTCAGCCTGCCTTGCCTAAGGAAAGCAGCAAAGAGATGATTAATCAAATCTATTGGATACATCTCCCCAAGACTTGTCTGTGGTCTGCCACAAAGCCCATCCTCAAAGAACTGCTTATCAAGACTCACAATCTTCTTAATCTGCACTATCAAAAATCCTGATACTTTCTAAAATGCCCAGAGAAGAGAGCCCTCAGAGTCTACCCATAGGGGCCTCTGCTCCAAAAAGTCACTCAAGATTTTCCAAGGATCACTTATTCAAGTCCAACTTCCAATGCTCAGGAAGAATGGAAAGTCTTCTTGTTGCAATCACTGAGGTCAGGGGAAATAATGCAAGCTCACCTTCAACCCCTAACCTCAGATGAATCAGTTGAGGTCTAAGGTAAAATAATCCACAACCTGGTTCTCTATCTTCCACAATCATACTCTATCTTGGCCTTGCCCTGCCCAACCCAGAAACATTTTAGGGAAACTCGGACGTAGAAAACTGTAGGTAAGAGCTGTCAAAACAAGAGCAATTTGCTGATGAAAATTAAATCACTGTCATTACTGTCAATCTAACCACAGGTGTACAATTTTTTCAACTGTTTGAAATGGCTAAATTACTGTATGTACTATACTCAAATCTCAAACAATTTTCTCTCAATCCCTCCCCACCCCACACATATATAAAGATTTTAAAAACAAAGTTATATTGGAGGTGAATAAAAGACTTTAATTGGATATTTTATACATGTGACACTCCCTATTTTCTTCCCAATTTTAGAGGATAGTGCTTATAAAGGGAGACTGAAAGCCCACATTGGTTTATGCATCTATCTTCCAAGAAAAATTAAAAGGCACGAATATTTATAAAAAGCAGGATGATGAGCAGCTGTCAGCTCCAAATTGCTCATCTATTACCTATGGGTTTCTCTCCCCAGTTACAAGCACTCCATAGAAACACCAACCAAAGAAATGAATCAGACTCTCTTAAAAAAAGACCAAGCTCCTAGCAGAGCAATCACATTTATGAGGCACCACATCTTGATTCTTTGAGCTAAAACAACATGAAATATTCTCTCTGCACCCAGCTAGAGGACTCTGGATGGCTGCCAAAGCAAGGCAAAGAGGTCTGGGAAGGCTGAGTCACTTTCTAGAGCTGCTGGATGACAGGCAGGTGAGCACAATAAGAAACTAGTGACATCTGCCTTGCAAAAATAATATGTACCTGAACCTCAAGAAGGCCCTACAAAAACAAAAAAACCTTTTAATTATAAACTCACAGGAAATTACAAAAATAGTACAGAAAATATCATGTACTCCTCATCCAGCTTCCCCCAATGGTAACATCTTATATAACAATAGTACTGTACAATATCAAAACCAATGAAAGGACACAGTACAGTACTGTTAACTAGACTACAGGCTTTATTCAGATTTCACCATCTTTGACATGTACTCATTTGCATGTATTTGTGTATGTATCATTCTATAGTTTTTTCCAAGACAATAGATTTGTGTTACCACCAGAGCAATCAAGCTATAGAACTGTTCCACCACCACCAAACTACTCCATTGTACTACCCATTTATAGATGCACCTCGTCCTCCCACTCTTTTCTCTCCCATCCCTATGCCCCAGCAAACACTAATTTGTTCTCCCTCTCTATAATTCCAGCATTTGAAGTATGTTCATCAACAGTTCATTTCTTTTTATTGCTGAGTAGTATTCCATTGTATAGATGTACAGTTTGTTTAACCATTCATCTGTTGAAGAACATCTGAGTTGTTTCTAGGTTTAAGCTAATACGAATAAAACAGCTATGAACATCTGTATACAGGTTTTTGTTTAAACGTAAGTTCTTATTTCTCTGGGATAAATGCCCAAGAGTACAATTGCTGGGTTATATGATAAGCATACGTTTCATTTTATAAGAAACTGCCAAACTATTTTCTAGAATGGCTGTACCAGTTTACATCCCCACCAACAATGTAAGAAAGATCCAACTTCTCTATATCCTCACCAGTATTTAGCATTATGACCATTTTTTATTTTAGGCATTCTAATAGATGTATAGTGATATTTCACTGTGGATTTAATTTGCATTTCTCTAATAGCTAATGATGTTAAACATCTTATCATGTGCTTATCTGCCATCCGTATGTCTTAAGAACTTTATACTTTGTCTTAGTTTCCAAAGATTTTCTCCTATGTTTAGTTCTAAAAGGTTTTTGGTTTTTTATTATTTTTTGTTTTACATTTTACATTTAAATCTATAATGTATTTTGAATTAATTTCGTTTCATTTTTTTACGGATATCCACTATTTGTTGAAAATACTTTCATTGAATTGCTTTTGCACCTCTGTCAAAAGTCAGTTGGATGTTGGTTGGGTCTATTTCTGGGTTCTCCAATCTGTTCTATTGATCTATGTTTCTTAGTCTCCACCAATACCACATTGTCTTGATTACTGTAGCTACAGAGTAAGTTTTAAAATCAGGTAGAGCAATTTATCCCACTTTATTATTCTTTTGCCAAATTATTTTAGCTATTCTATTTCCTTCATCTTTCCATATAAACCTTTAGAATAAGCTTATCTATATCTACAAAAAACTCATGCTGGGATTTTGATAGAAATTGCATTAAGCCTACAGAGATCAATTTGGGGAAATTGACATTGTTTGCTATGTTGAGTCTTTCAATCCATGGACACAGAATGTCTCTCCATTTATGTAAATCTTCTTTGATTTAACCTCATCATCATCTTTCGTCAACTTTTCTCATCAACTTTCAGCACACTGATCTTGTACATGCCTTGTTAGATTTATTCTTGAATGTTTCATTTTTAGAGGACCAATTGTAAATGATGTTTGTGTTTTTAATTTCAATTTCCACATTCATTGTTGGCATATAGAAATATAATTGATTTATGTTGGTTTTGAATCCTGTGACCTTGTTGAACTCACTTATTAACTCCAGAAGGTTTTTTTTGGAGGTTGTTTGGGATTTATACATAGATAATCATGTCATCTGGAAATAGGGATAGTTTTATTTCTTCCTCTCCAATCTGTATGCCTTTTATTTCCTTTCCTTGCCTAACTGCATTAACTAGGACTGTGCTGAATGAGTGGTGAGAGTGAACATCCTTCCTGATCTCAGTAGCAAAACATTGTTTTTCAGTATTAAGTATGATGTTGGATGTAGATTTTTTTCTGGATGCTCTTTATCAAGTGAGAAAGGTTTCTGTTCCTAGGTCTCTGAGTACTGAATTTAGTCAAGTGTTCTTTGTGCATCAATTGATATATGATAATGTGGTTTTTCTTCTTTAGTCTGCTGATATGGTGAGTTACACTGATAGGTTTTGTACAATGAACCAGCCTTGCATTTCTTGGTTATAACGTATAGTTCTTTTTATACACTGCTGTATTTGATTTGCTAATATTTTGTTGAGGATTTTTGCATCTATGTTCATGAGGAATGTTAGTCTGTAGTTGTTTTCTCTGTTTTTATTTTTGTTTTTTGTACTTTGTCTAGTGTAGGTATCAGTGTAATAGTGGTCTCATAAAATAAGTTGGGAAGTGTTCCTCCCACTTCCATTTTCTGGAAGAGATTGTATAGAATTGATGCTAATCATTTAAAAATATTTGGCAGATGTCCCCAGTGAAACTAACTGAACCTGGAAACTTCTTTTTTGGAAGCTTTTTCACTACAAATTGAGTTTCTTTAATGGTCACAGTAGCATTCAGATTATTTCATATTGGGTAAGTTTGGGTATTATGTGCTTTTAAAAGAATTGAACTATTTTGTGTAAATTGTCAAATTTACGTACATGGAGTTGTTCACAAAATTCTCTTATTTTCCTTTTAATGTCTGCAGGATCTGTAATTGATATTCCTGGTTCTGTTCTTGATACTAGTAATTTGTATCTTAATGCTTTTGTTCTTTGTCAGTCTTGATAGAGGTTTATCAGCTTTTGGTTTCCCTGATTTTCTCTATTGTTTTTATGTTTTCAATTTCACTGGTTTCTGCTTTTTTTTTTTTTCCTTTTTGTCTTTTTTCGTGACCGGCAACGGGATCGCAACCCTCGGTGTCGTGCCCGCACCGCGCTCAACCAGTGAGCAGACTGGTCTCTATATGGGATCCGAACCCTCGGCGGGAGCACCACTGCGCTCCCAAGCGCCGCACTCTACCGAGTGCGCCACCAGGCCAGCCCTGGTTTCTGCTTTTTATTATTTCCTTCCTTCTACTTGCTTTAAGCTTATTTTGATCATCTTTTTCTAGTGTCTTGAGGTAGGACTTTCTTTTTTTTTTCCTTTTTGTCTTTTTTCGTGTCCGGCAACGGACCGCAACCCTCAGTGTCGCGCCCGTACCAGATCGGGACCGGCAACGGGATCGCAACCCTCGGCGCTGCGCCCGCCCCTCGCTCAGCCAGTGAGCGGGAACCAGTCTGTATGTGGGATCCGAACCCTCGGCGGGAGCGCCACCACGCTCCCAAGCGGCGCACTGTAGCAGTGCGCCACCGGGCCGGCCCATTGAGGTAGGACTTTCAATGACAGATTAGGGACCTTATTCCTTCACTAATACAAGCATTTAATGCTATAAATTTCCCTCCCAGCTTTAGTTATATCTTGCAAATTTTCATAAATCACATTTTCATTTTTATTTATTTCAATGTAGTTTTTTGTTTTCTTAAACATTCCTTGAGATTTCCTCTTGGACTCAAATGTTTGGTGATTTTCCTGCTATCTATTACTGGTTTCTGGTTTGACTCCATTACTGTCAGAGAACATACACTGTATAATTTTAATTCTTTTAAATTTGTTGTGATTTGTCTTATAACCCAAAAGATGATCTCTCTTGGGAAATGTTTCATGGACACTTGAAAAGAATGTATATTCTGCTGTTGTTGAATGAAATATTCTATAAATGTCAATTACATTTTTCTGATTGATGTTGTTACTAAGGTCTTTAATATCTTTGCTGATTTGCTGTTTTCTGTTTTTTCCCTCTGTTTTTTGTTCCTCTGTTTCCCTTT